ACATTATTCGAAGCCATTGATACCGAGGAACGTTATAAACGACATGATTCAAAGTCATTGATGTCTATAAACGTTAAAAACGACATGATACAAAGCCATTGATGCCAATGAGCCTTATAAACGACATGATACAAAGCCATTGATGCAGAGAAACTTTATTAACGATATTATTTTATGCCAGTGATGCCGAGAAACGTTATAAAAGACATTATACTAAGCCAATGATGCCTATAAACGTTATAAACGACATAATACAGGGCCATTGATGCTGAGAAACGTTATAAACGACATGATACGAAGCCATTGATGCAGATAAACTTTATTAACGACATTATTCTAAGCCATTGATGCCGAGAAACCTTATAAACGTCATTTTACTAATTCATTGATGCCTAGAAACGTTATAAACGACATGATACAGGGCCATTGATGCAGAGAAACTTTATAAACGACTTGATACAAAGCCATTAATGCCTATGAACGTTATAAACGACATGATAAAAAGTCATTCATGCCGAGAAACGTTATAAACGACTTGATACAAAGCCATTGATGCCGAGGAAAGTTATAAACGACATGACAAAAAGTCATTGATGCCGAGGAACGTTATAAACGACATGATACAAAGCCATTGATGCCGTGAAACGTTATAAACGACAATGATTCAAAGCCATTGATGCCTATAAACGTTATAAACGACATGATTCAAAGCCATTGATGCCGAGAAACGTTATAAACGACATGATTCAAAGCCACTGATGTCGAGAAATGTTATAAACGACATGATTCAAAGCCATTGATGCTGAGAAACCTTATAAACGACATTAAACAAAGATATTGATGCCGAAAAAAATTATAAACGACATTACACAAAGCCATTGATGCCGAGAAAATTAATAAACGACATGATACAAAGCCCTTGATGCCGAGAAACGTTATTAACGACATTACACAATGCCATTGATGCCGAGAAAAGTTATAAACGACATGATACAAAGCTATTGATGCCGAGATGTTATTCGCAAATAGAGCGACATATTTTAGATTATTCCAACCATTGAATAACGTAATATGTAGCCTTCATTTAATATCCACGTTAAGGCCTTAGATAGCCAGAAAGAATAAGAGATCGGGTCCAGAGAGAATATTAAATGGAGTACAATCACATATATTCAAAATATTTACCACAAGGCCTTTATTAGATTAAAACGCAGCGCGCTCTCTCTTCAAATTTGGCAGATGAGGTTGATGGGAGTACTCACATCTGGGAATTAATTCTACCCAGAAATTCCATCCAGATGTAATCTTATATCTGGGAGTCTATTCCACCATCCTGATCCTTTTCTGGATGTACTTTTTACATTTGGGAATATATTCTGTCCATTATTTTTCTTCGGATCAACATATTACATCTGTTAAATCAGGTTCCCAGGGATGAGTGTCTTTTTGAAAAAAAATTGTAAAATTCAGATCTCTAGCTTTCGGATATGAAAACCCTCCTAGAGGAGAAAAGACGTTACAATAAATACAATAATATAGAACACGAATTATAATTTAATCAAATAGTATTATATTATAACTCGTGTTCTTTTGATGATTTAATGTATTGTTTTCTCCTGTTTTTAAGGGTTTTCATGCCCTAAAGATAGAGGTCTGAATTTACGTTTTCAAAAGAAACTTATCCCCGGATGCCGGATGGTTTTCAACTTATTATTGATATAAATGATTATTTTAATAATTATTAAATGTGTAAAAATGTTCTCGGGAATATCTATCCAGATGGAAAAGGTATATATGTGAATCAATTTTACCTACAATTTCCAAAAGGATGGACATCTTTTATCGGGCTATCAATCATACCTATTATCTCTATTTTAGTGTAACTATTACAAATGGGAATTAATCATGTTGATTATCTCTGTTTTGGTGTGAATATTATAAAGGTGAATTAATTATGCACATATTTTCTCTTTTCGGGTGTAAATATTACAACTGGGAATCAATTCTACCCAGAATCTCCATATAGATATACATTTTACATATGAGAGTCATTTCTAGCCATAAGATATTCCATAGATGCACATCTTTTACTATATAAACAATTTACTCCAAGAAAGGCTCCATTCTGAGGTAAACTAACATCTGAGAATCACTTCTATCCAGGAGTTTCATCAATAATTTACAACTTAAATTCATTAACAAGATGAAGACGTTATGTAAAATCTCATAACTTGTGCCCGTATCTCACCCAAGGACTCGGCCATTCTGCCCCAAAGGTAGAGGCGGCAGGCCACTTATCAATTTGCAGAAGTCCCCAGGAGTTTCTGCCCGGTTTGCATATCGATTTTAAAATTAAATAAATGTCCCGGGCCAGGTTTTATTGCCATTTTATCACCAGGGAAGACCGATCGCGTCCATTTCTATCTCCGGAAATCAATTAGATTTCCCATAAGTATATTCCAATAACTTAAATATATTTTAAGGCTTGAAGAGAGTGCCAAATCGATAAAATAATATTTATCATTTTATAGAAGCGCGCGAGAGGGTAAATCTACTTTTGAAAAAGGTGAAAATTGTATATTTATATAAGTACGTTTATATTATATTGGTGTTTTTCTGAAATATTTTGTTATACTAGTTTAAAATCACGAGAATACACACTAAAACATGTTCAATTTGCATTATATGACTCTTCAATTCACGGCCTAAAATTTTGTATATATATGTATAGACAAATGTAAAGGCATACATGTATGACAGCGAAAGTGTCCTTAGGGGACCGAAATTAAAACAAAATTTTAAAATGTTCAATTTGCTAAAAATCGTAGAACTATAATGTGACCTGCCACGTAAAAAACGAATTCAAGGCCAATATAATGATTTTAAAAATGTCCCTGAGTAAAACAAAACAAAATGATAACAATATTTTTAATTCAAATATAAAAATAACGATATGTTTTCTATTAAATAGTATTCTTCTATTTGCCTTTATATAGTATTCTATAGTAATCGATAGTACAAAAAATCTGATAATTCCGCAACTTTATGTTATATCGTAATCTGTAAAACGACGATAGAGAATATATTTCGACGTAGAAAAATCAGGGAAGACGAAGGTGACACAGAGCAATTTATTTCATTCAAATATTATTTACATAAAATAAAACAAATTCAGGAAAAGAGTTTTGCTGAGCAACCAAATTAATATATTCTATGTATATAATTATATTATATTACAATATATAAATATCTCATAATATTACATGTGGGAGGTATAGACTAGACAAACCTTGCTAGAATTCACTACTGATGATTCTAATACTGACATATTTTGTATATTGATTTATAAAATAAAAAATGCGAGGGCGTATTGAAAAGTAAGGTTTCCAACTACGCCATTTCCGATTGCGAGTTGGCAGGCGAAATTTGGCCACAGTGCTGTATTCCTTGGTTCCCACGCCAGAGTCTCGAACAATCCGCGTGACTTTGGGACACTCAGTCGCTGCATAGCAGCCGTTTAGGATGGAGTTCCCGCTTCGTTCGCCCGCCAGGCGTGAACTGCGCTCAGTTATTCGATTTTTTAATGATAAAAAGTTCAGCCGATAGAAATTCATCGACATTTATTCAAAGTGTACGGTGAGAAGTGTATGGACGTGAGTGGTGCCGGGAGTTTTCTGAGGGCCGGGAACACGTTCACGATGAGCAGCAGTCAGGGCGGCCGAGTTTGCCGGAATCAACGGTGGCTCGAAAATAGCTGAATGTTCAACCTTCCCAACAATAATTTGTAAATGAATAAAATTTTCCATGAAAAAAATAGGAGTCCTTACTTCTCAATACATCCTTCAATACACTTTCGATTAGAAAATGTATTCCCAAAAAAAAAAAAACATTATCCATAAAAGGGGCTAAATATAAGAAAATGTGCCGTTCTGTTCGACAGTGTTATATTTTAGTTCTACTTATCTATTGGAACGGATCTTGGTGCACCACCAAAAAGAGAAGAGAAAAGCCTAACAACTCAAAGGTCAATTGAGAAACTAAAATATGGGGGATAGGTAAAAATGAACATAGGCGATATTTTGAAACAAGAGAATGGCATCAGGAATGTATCATCCTCTCAATATAGGATAGTATAAGAGAGGGCTGAACACAACCAGAATGTGGAATAATGTGGCTTAAACCCTGATCGTATATGGTAAGAAGACTGGGGTGCTTATCAGTGAAATGGGAAGATCAAAGACCAATACCTGTAGTGGCTTCTCTCTGGATAAGAATATTATTATCCCTAGTACACGGGGTACAGGCCTTCATAATCATGGTGGATAGTTAGCGACTGCTCTTACTGTAAGTTTACGACATGTCTACACATATAAAGAAGTTCGACTTTACACATACAAATGTGCCAGAGCCCCGTTTGATTACTTGCACTCGTTGGTGGGGTTGGACTTTTTCAAGATTCGGGGGCCTTTGGAGCATTTTTTTAGTTATAAAAAAGCGCTCAATGCGGGATTCGATCCCGGGTCGTTTCGGTCGAAAACCAATGGTTCAGACCACTCTTCTTCCGACCCCCTGGATAAGAATAGAGAGAGAGACAGTGAAAAGTGTCGCCCTGATCAAGTGGAGAATCTTACCTAAAAAAAAAAACATGAAACCATCAAGGTAGTTCTGTGCCATTACTCCGCGATATCTATATGAACGGAACATAATAAACAGTTCTATTTGTATAATAATTAAGTAAGAAAAAAAGATCTGATCGCACAACTGAATGTTTCTGATGACTTGTGGTACGTATCGAAAAATTCAGCTTTCATTTCTCTGAGTGCCCTGGCAGGACGGGGACGGCGCGCTCTCGCGCCACACACCCGCCCTAAAGTTGCTCCATCCGGACGACGGCTCCAGTCCCTCTCGTTAGACCTAGCGACCTCCCAACGCTCCGAGGAGGTCACACCTCCCTCCACGCTCCAGGAGGAGGGCGACGTCTAGACACCGCAAAAGGTAATAGCCTACAGCACCCGGTGTTCCCAGGTGGTCACCCTCCCAAGTACTGACCGGGCCCGACATTGCTCAACTTCGGTGATTGGACGAGAACCGATGTTTCCAATATCACTATATTCCTTTTTCTTAATATAAGCACTTTATCGTTTCTAAGTACAATTTCACTTTGGTAATATATCATCTTACGATAAGGCTGTTCATATCGCAAATTAACCACATTATAGATTGATGTGATTTAGATGTTCACAGAATACCTTTATAGCAGGTGTATCTTGTAGCTCTGCATAAATTCTCCACCAAATATGGTTGAAACTATGACACTCACACATAAATATATTATAGATGAACAGTGAGTATATATATGTCGGATTTCGATTGAATCCTGTCGACTCTCTGTCGGATCCTGTTGTTACCTGTGTAAGATCCTGTTGACTCCTGTCAACTTACTGTGGGATTGGTGAATTGTGGTGAATCCTATGTAGGATTATGTTGAATTGATGATTGATGGCGCAGTCTTGGTCGAATGGTGGGTTTCCACAGGGGAAATAACGAGCACCTGGATGGGATAGAACATGGACTTTGCGAAAGGGAGAGAGTGATTGAGACTCGAGGAGGTACCTTTGCCTTTCACATGATCGAGAGGATTTTTACCTTGGTTGGAGCCTAAGTTGAGCACACCTTGCTTCTAGCCCGGTCACCTACCTTCTCCCTAAGTTCTTGTCCGAGATAATCGTCATTAACTATCTCGGCTTCTCATTGGTAGAGATCATTCTACCTTCCTACTTCTGATTCGCTATTAGTTGGTCATGCTTAACTGTGATTGGCTTAGTACCTCCATTGTCGCCATGATTGCAATCTTCCAGGAAGAAGAAGGTCTTTGAATTCTAGTTTTATGGGTCCTGGGCAGTGACCTTTACTTCCTGGATGATGCAATCCTGTTAATGGTCATTCCCTCTTTCGCGAAGCCTAACTTTTATTAAATATTTTGACGATACATTGCATAGGTTGTGGTGGGGTTACATATTGCTATATACAAATTATCACATATATATATGGTAATTTAAACCAACAACCCTATATTGCATAATACTTATAACAAGATTGCCATGTTGTATATAGAAACACATCTATAAATAATTATACGCATGATTGACATGTGTCATTGCATCACCATATGTAATGTTCTTTGTACAAACTGAGGATGAATAAATAAAACTATGTAATAGATTAAGAGCTGAGCTAAGAAAGAGATCGAGAAAGAAATTCAACAACCCTAAAAGGGAATTTGGCAGGTCGTTCCATCAAGGTCATTGGGTGTAGAATACCGCAGACACCCCACGCCCTTTGCACCCGTTCAAAGTCCAAATTCCCGCATGTCTCCCCCCTCGGCAAAGATATAAAAAGCCTCTGCCCTAGCCGAAAATATAGTCACTTCACCATCAGCGTGTGCCCTCGTCGGTTGTACCCAGGTTCACCTCATCGACCATGTAGAACAGTAAGAACTCTTCTATCTCCATCTTGCTCTTAGCTCGACTCCTATCTGTTCACGGAACTTTCCTACTACAACTGTGTCTCTTCGTTCTTTGTGTGTGGACATTCCCAAGCTTTCCACTCTGCCTCGACCACGACTGCCTGTACTCTGTGAGAACTGTTAAAGGTCCTCCAAGGTGCAGAGAGGTACTGGAAAACTATCCACGCCCTGACTGTCCCTTCTCGGTTACTACAGGTTTGACCCTCGGTTATCACAGCTATAGCGAGAGCCGACAGGATACCTCATCACATATATATATTAGAAATCACGCCTTTCAAGATAGACACTAAACTTTAGAGCAGATATACCGGTACTACCATACTTTATATTTTCAAGAAAAAGTTTCTATTAAAGCATAATGTGAATTTCAATTGCCAATAAAATATAAGACAGACCTGGTTCTTCAGTGGTGAACCCTTCCAGTATTTTACATCGTAGGTGAGGACATTAAAAGGTGTATTTTATTTTAAATGAAAATTTCGTGATTTAAAAGATTCATGAATCTCCATTCATGTATATTTCTTTCTTGTGTGCTCTTTAAATATAGTTGCAAATAATTATAATTGAATAAAAAATAAAGATGTGAATATTTGCGGAATTTATTTTATTTTTAAAAAATGGGAGGCAAGCTTTCGCGCGGTCGTGCTTTATCAGGCCACTGGCTCCGCAAAGTTGTGCAACACACATATAATATAGATTCACAGAAATATTTTTAAAACCAAATCAGGAATAAATATAAATAGTTTCTAACTGTAGAGGGTTAGAGGGACAATTCCTTATTTACCCATTCCATTCAATTTCTTTCTTTAATATCCGTTTTTATCAGCATAGTTTCCATTTATATTCATGCTATAAAATTGTGTTAGGTCGTCTTACTTGCCAATCATCTACAGAGGGTGTTCCACTTTTGAAAGAACGACTTTGAAGAAGTGCGCCATTCAAGTGATGTTATATTTATTCAAAAGAATAAACATTTTTTTTAAATGAAAAAACAATTTTTAAATATTGAAATGCCGAAAATTATAAGCGATTTTGTAAACGGTTACGTTTTCAAACTTTCCGAAGAGAAATACTCGTTTACCTAAATTTTTGAAATTATGAAAGAAAAGAATATTGAATTAAGTACACAATCAGTCAAATAATATAAAGGAAAACAAAGAAAAATTTGGTATCTATGAAATTCAGCAAAATAATGCCTCTGAAAAAAGTACCTGAAGAAACCTTTAACTCCAACCAGAAGAAAGATAAAGGAAATGGTTGTCAGAGAGAATTCACCTCCACAAAAGCACAATTTCACAATAACCAACATATAATTTTTTACCATTAAGCGTATTATCAGGAAAAATCGGAATAAAAATACGAAAAAAGGCTAAACTTCATGTTCCCCAGCCGCACCATATCGAGGAACCCAATACCTGCAGCAGGGCCCTTTATGAAAGGTGGTACCTAGCAGGTGAAAAATGGACGAATGTTGTTACACTGGACGAGGCATGGGTTTACCTCAATGATAGCAATCAACCCAGTGCCATTTACTACGCTAACTCTAAAAAAAAAAAAAACACTTTTCAGAACTGGGTCAAGCAATGCAAGGAAAGTTTATCAAAGGGCTTCATGATCGTTTCAGGTTTCTGCTACAATGCGAAGCTTCCTATAAAGAAAGACCCAAATATAAATATAATTTGCAACGCTACCAAAGATTTGTCTTAGATCCATTAATCGACAATAGGGTCCCATTTTTGTATCCAAGTGACTCAATCCCCGTGTGGCTGCACCAGGATAAAGCCATAAGTCATATACGTCAATACCTGGACGAAAAGAGGGATGAAATAGTCATTTCGTACATCCATTTTAAGCATATCCCTTCCAAATCCCCAGACTTGGTTCCTATGGATTTTTGTATTTTTTATTTCTGAAAGCTGTTCTTAGGTCTAGAAAACCGAAGAGGCTAGATGGTCTCTGGAAAGTCGTTAAGGACTGTTGGGACGGTCTTGATCAAAATATTCTAAGACGAAGCCATATTTTCTGAAAACATCGATACAGGGCTGCTGCTAAGCCTCAAGGCTTATACATCAAAACAACAACTTGTTCAAACATTTGTAAATTATTTTTAATAAAGCACTAAAATCGTTATTTTTAAAATAGAACACCCAATGCATTTTTGATATATTCTGAATATTTCAAAAATCCCTTGGGAATTTTTACCTGAAAAACAAAAGTAAAGTAAATAAATAGGTTTATAAATAGATTCAAAATATAGACATTCTCCCGATCCGGTCATCCTTTCACGTATGACAGACTAATGCTCTGATGTTTATATATTTATTTATTATATCTGATATATTCTCTATCTTCCTCTTGCCGAACCGGCTGCGCGGTGGACCCATACCGTGGATGTGCCCGCTCCATCCCCTGGGCCGACCTGCATCACAACTGTTTCTCGGGGCACGACGCAGACATCGCCCTACGGCTGGCCTTCCACGCCCTACCCCATCCTGACCATCCTGTCTCGAGGCGTGCCACCTGTGCCGCCTGTGGGTCCAGAGAAGGGTCGCTGACCCACAGATATTGGAGTTGCCGAGCCGTGTGACCCCTGCTCCGGGAGGTGTTCGCCTCCTGCGAAGTGCCGCCTGGATCTGCAGACCTGGCTGTTCGGCTTAGCCTCCATCCCGAGGCAATGAAATTGATAAGTGTGGCGAAGGTACTATAAACAAGTACCATCTTGGTCTTGAGTTGGGTAACGCCAGCCAACACCTCGACCTGCCCACTCTGTGGGTAAGAACTCTCGCAGTCCATCGGTGGTGGAGTCTTTCTCGCGGTGGGCGCTACAAATATGAGGACATTGTATATATTTTAAATATATGTAAATTTATCAATTATTTCATATATTTACAATTATTTATCCACATTTTATATATTTATTTAATCTTATTTATTCTATATATTTATTTTGTATTCAACTTTATATAAACTTATATGAACATTGAAATAAAGTAGTTTCAATCTCTCTCTCTCGCGCCCGATTATTGAAACTCTTTTGTTTCCCAGCGCCCTCCAGGTGACTCAAGCTCAGTTCATGCCTCCGTTCCTGCGTTGACGTCCCGCGGTGTTGCAGAAGGGTCGGAACTGGTCAAGTGTTATGCTAAATCACCGGTTAAAGGTTTTCAAACAGAAACATTATTCAAAGTTGAATTCAAACAATTATTTGAGGAAAATCGGAGGTGTCTATACTAAAATTCAATTAGCTGCTATTTATTTCAGGTTAAAGATATAAACATTCTGTATAGTTATACAAAGATCTTTGTATAATTTGATAGTTTGAATTACTTAGCTTGTGATTGGGCTTTCTGCCATTGACATTAAAACTCATAGTGCCTATATATATAGTGTTTATTTACTATAAAGGCCTTCTTTACAACGTTTATAATGAATATGAGATGATATAATTTGAGAAAATATGTGTTAGTAACCTTTCTGCAACCTATTTCGTATATACATAATCAATGTATATTTAAACAAATATTAAAAACATAAGGTAATAAGACTAAATTTAAAAAAATGAATAGCGTGTAATGTTTCGGTAACAGCGTTGT